TTAATTTTGCGAGTGGAATAGTCTTCAAAATTCTTCTTTGATGATGCGAAGTAGATTTATGTTGCAAGATTTGAAACCACTGAGCAACTTTTTCTCATATACCTGACAAAAAATGTAATTCTCATCTGTATGAAAACGATCGAATTCTTCTGTGCAGTGCTTGTCTTACACTCAGTGGGATTTTGTCTGACATTTTTATATAAAATGTAGATTAATTTGTAGTAAAAATAGAAACTGATTCCACAATGTTACTGTTTAATCTTAGGATTAGGGAATAAAAACAACGCTGGTTTAGGTTTAACCTATTTTAGTTATGGGAATATGCCGATATAATTTTGAACTTTTTTTAAAAAGTTCGAAAAATCAGTAATTTTAAGGAAAATGAGACCTAACCCATTCTCTTAAGCGGCATTAATGCTCTCCGAGGACAAAATATGATCAATAAAATTGATACCACCTTTTTATAAATTTTGAAAATATCCCAGGGGCATCATGGGCCCAAAATTAAAATACCGGTTTCAAAGTCAAGTGGCCGCGACATCACCTATATCGGTTGGGGAATATTAACTTTGGTGAAAATACTGCTTACGGTCACACATTTTGCTGTCAACCGATTTTTCGATATCCACAAAAAATGAATTCTGACTACAAAATATGTTATAGGAAGTCATGTACCCGTGGCGGCTCCTGCTCAGTTTGCACGGTTGCACAATGTCCAGATAATCGAAAAAGGTCTTAAGAATATACATTTTCCTTTTCATGACATTCAACATTTAAGTAGCAATATCGATATATACGAAATCATCTTGAAACAAAAGGGTGTCCAACCGGCGCTCTCGCCGATATCTGGCATCTTGTCAGGTATTGCATGACGCTCTTGGCTGTATTACTGGGTTTACTGCATTTACTCTTTGGCCCTTCGATTTAACTAGGGGGATACGCGGCCTTTGTGGCGCAATCAAGCCGAGCGCTGTAGAGCGCTGCGCAGCGACCGAAGGGGTCTGAAGGGAATACCAATATTCTGTCTTCGTCTGACTAGCTGCAACTTAATAAATTATGAATTTTGCCCATTATTGAGGCTACACAAATCCAGTCAATTATTGACGGCATTTAATGCATTATTTATTATGTTTGGAGAATTTATTTTAATTTTGATATTAGATTTATTGATTAAAAGTGAACACTTGATAAATTCTAATTGTAAAGTTTGACACTCTCGAAGGGAGGCCCTTCCTGCCTCTCATTGTGGATGCGTATTGCCGCCTGCAGTTAGAGACGGAGAGCGCTAGCAGGAATATCAGAGTGTGTGTGTGTGTGTGTGTGTGTGTGTGTGTGTGTGTGTGTGTGTGTGTGGAAAGATATTTATTACAAAATATAACAGGGTAGTAAAATTTTCGAAATAAAATAATTTTATTTGTGTGAAACATGTCTAAGCAATAGTGCTTGTTGCAATGTGTGGAGTCGAACGTAAGTGCCTAATGGAAATCAAAGCCAGAACCACGTGCACGGAAGGTGTATATACCTGACACGGAGACTAAGTATTAAATTACGTAATTAATATTTCAAAATAGATTTTTATTTAACTTGGTTTTAATTACTTTTCTTGAATTACTTGCGTTGTTATTATGTATTCATATTTAGAATTTTGGAAATAACATTTTCGACAATCGATGAAGGTGCAACCTTCAGTCTGTTCGGACTTCAGCCACCACTATAATTTACTATTTATAGGGACAACACTAACTTTTACGTTTTCAGGGCCCGTTTTCAAGATTTTTTCTGTCTAAATTTCGCCGTTTTCCCCCGCAGCATAACAATACTTTCTCTATTTTGTGTAAGAAGAAGTAAAAATTAAAAATTAATATTTCAATGTTTATAAATCTTAGAGAATCCTAAAAGGCAAATTATTTAAACAACTTTCAAATCAAGCGATGATTTACTTCCCTTTTCTGTACAATATTTTTTTTCTTTCACGCCTACTGTTTACGCAGTATAGAGAAATTATTGTAATGCTGGGGGGAAACGGGGAAATTTCAACAGAAAACTTTTATTGATGGACACTGGTAACGAAAAAGTGAATAAATCTTGTACCTTTATGTACTACTTTCTCTAACTCGACATGTGGTCAGAATCCACGTTTCATGACTCCTGGATAACGAAAAATTGGATTACGGCAAAACGTCTGTCCGTCTGTGAATTGCGTTTGTGGCTAAATCATTACTAGGATATTCACCAAAATTGATATTCCCCGATTGATTTGACTGACATTGAGTACGTATTGATTGACATTGATTACGTAATTGAAAACGTATGTTTTGATTTTGATGGTACTTACATGAAGCTACAACATTTTCAAAATTTTCTTAAAAATTCGCTGCGCGAAAAAACGACGAATTTCTCGACAAAAGAACTCATTACATTCCCAGTCTTCTGGGTTTCTTCAATTCGGAAAAAGTGCAACGCATGGTTTAGGCGCGAGTGGTGTTCACAGTCGGACGTTTTGAAAAAAACAACAATTTTTTGGTATCAGAGGGCCCCAAAACGTGGATTTCTGTTGAAATCCCGAAATCGATTTTCCGCAGCATTACATAACTTTCTCCATACTCTCCATACTCCATACTACGCATTTGCTCCATATAGCAAACTACGTATACGAGAAAGTGAAAAATGTATCTTCATAATATTGTAGTTGTAGGAAGACGGAAAAAATGTAAGTTTTTAAAATATCGAAAAATAGGCCTGCGCCTTCTGTTAAGCGTCCGTCACTCTATCAGATAATAAAATGTAATAAAAAATTTGGACCCTCTTTCTAATTTTGAAAGGTCCCAGGGGCTTCACGTAAATTATCCCCTCCAAAAAATGTTCAAATTCAAGGGGCTGCGAGATCAGCCAGATACATTTTGCAGAAAATCAGCAGAACGGTTTAGGCGTTGACCATAGATGGATTTCGGTGACAAGGGCACACAAGAAAAATTTTGACTACATGTTGTGTTAGAGGAAGTAATTTACTATACTTGCATGCAAGGACATTTTGTTACCAGGGCCCGGCAATAAGTTTTTTGTGTCGAAAACTCACTGTTTTTCTACGCAGCAATACAATGCTTTATACTGAGTAAGCAGTAACAAGCAACGCTAAAACTAGAATAAACGCAATAAAAATTTGGAACTTGTTATTTTCATCTATAATTCCCGTGAATTGCGTAACTCATGCAATTCTAAGATTGTCATAATGTCGTGATGTTTATTACGGGAGGTGGTCAAATTGATTGCAAATATTAATATGTTTTTGAAATGTCCACCAGTCTTTGCCTCCTTAAACTGTCTTGACGAGATGAAGCTCATGGATTTCAGAAGTTCTTCTTCTCGAAATTTTCAAGAATACGCGCTTTGGTTATCAGTCGACTCGAAATCTTTTAGTTTTTTTCAAAATTTTGAATCGGCCCCTGTTTTTAATGCACATAGCATCATGAAAAATGGATGGTCTGACGAACTGACTGAATGGAAGTTGAGTCAACTTGAAGGAAGCGGTGCATTTTTATTTTTATACATGAGTAGGTATGTTAGAGCATTAAGAAGCATAAAATTGTTCATGCACAAAAACATCTTCCAAAGTTTTATTATGTTTTTTTAAAATAATTATGTTTATGGTCTCTTTTTCGATGATTTTGTACGTGGTAGTATCTCTAAACTGCATTTTGATCTTTATCTAACGTTGATTAAAAATTAAAATGATAGTGAGCTAGCTCAGACAAAAGAAATTAGAAAACTAGTATGAGAAAGTCTGTGCAATTCTGACACACCACTAGTTTTTTCCGTTCCCCGATCTATGCAACAGGACAGTCCAGGATACACCATTAATATTATATACTATTTATTTAGCTTTAATTTTGGTAGATGCGACGAGAGAGGGAATTTAGCTATTTCACAGGCAGTACCATCAAATCAAATAAGTAGTTCTTTTTTCGATGCAGTTTCTATTATACAGGATACAATATGTTTGATCAAATATTGCTGTCAACGTTCGTTGCTTTCAAGTATATGCGGGTAAAGATAATGTGTAAAAATTCCGGAGTTCAAGAAAACCGCGCAGCTAGTACCACATACAATTTTACTTAATACTTTTTCAGTTCATTAATTTCATATTTCACTGGGAAATATTCAGGAAACGTATTTTTTGTCATTTTGAAAAAGATTAAAAAGCATTTAACATGTGTGTAATAAAACAAGTCATTAAAACTGGGGGAAATCACACGTGATATTTCGACTACAATAGTAGCCAAAACGCGCTTTTAATGTATTTTGTAGAACTGAATAGACTGGAATCGTCTGGAATTTAGGTGCAAGGGAATATATATTAATTGCTTTATTGGAGAACTGGCGGTTTTGGGAGTATATTTAGTCTTTTGTCGCTGTCCGTAGGTGATGCCCAGAAGTACCAGTTCGGTGTAGCCGTGGCAATGCATATGATAAATGATAACTGATATATAAATTGGTGATTACGATTTAGGTTTGGGGTTTGAATTTTTAAGTATCGGTGTTACTGGAGTACTTAAAAACGGAGTTACGGAGTATTTAAAAACATTTGTACATAGGGATACTAAAATATTGTTTTGGAAATTTGTTACAATGCTCCGCCTAGTAAGTGTAATACATTTACATTTCACATTGGCAATTGCAATAGATATGAAGAGCCTAATCATTCAGCAAACATTTTCAGTCAGCATTTTCAGTACTCCGAGTGAATTTGGCATCTTGTGTTTGGAGTTAAAGAAGAGAAGGAACCGAGTCCGAGAAATTAGCCTGAGCTTTCCAAAATTCTTCAAACTGAAAAATATTACCTTCTTAGAGTTGTTAGGAATCACTTTTTGATGATACAAAATCTTACATAAGATAGACAAAAGGAAAAAACATATTCAGAAGTAACATCTGAAAGAGTTCAAGATATTTTATTTAGTAATATATTGGTACATGTAATCTAACACAATTTGTCTCAACCAAAGAAAGTGCTGAAGATTCGACTAGGCAATTGAAAAAAGGACGAGAAAATACCAGTCGGCCGCCGTTGCTGCGCGGGCTGCTGCTGGTTCTGTTGTTGCTGCTGCTCCTGAGACTGAGCCGGTGGCTGCGGCTGGTTCTGCTGCTCCTGAGACTGAGCTGGTGGCTGCGGCTGGTTCTGCTGCTCCTGAGACTGAGCTGGCGGCTGCGGCTGGTTCTGCTGTTGCTGCTGCTCTTGAGACTGAGCTGGCGGCTTGCGGCCTTGGTTCGTGCTGTTGCTGCTGCTCCTGAGACTGAGCTGGCGGCTGCGGCTGTTCTGCTGCTCCTGAGTCTGAGCCGGCGGCTTGCTGCTGGTCTTGGTTGAGACGGCGCGGAATCCTGGTTCGATCCCTTCAGCCTGGCGCTGGCGCTGCGGCTCGTCGGGCGAGGAGTGGGCAGGAGGTTGGGCCTGCTGGTCGCCGGTGTTGGTGGAGCTCGAACCACTGGCGCCTGCGCGCTACCGCCGCTGCTGCTGCTGCTGGCGTCGCTGGCTTCTGGCTGGCCGGCGGATGCGCTGCTGGAGCCCTTCGCGCTTGGCCGTCCGCGCTCGCCTCGCTTACCTGTCGAACCGGCCTGATGCCATCTTCCGGCTGAAAATACACGCGGTCATTATTCTTCTGGTACCGCTTCAAGGATAGTCGAAAACTTAATCTCTTCTGCAGTTAATACACGACTTCCAATAATACCATGCAATATTTACGTTGTAAATCAAGAACACATGTAGAAATTATAACATTGCTCTATGTAATTAATAACGAATCTTGATACTTTACTTCAAGTATCTCTTTGCAGATCGTAATTCTATCACGTGTTAGTTTTTTAAATGAATTGCTGCATTAAAATTTTCCGACGAAACGACATTTTTGTTTTTGCTACTTTATTCTATCCATCGCATTTTCTAATGTAAACTCAAAATGATAGATATTCAACAAAATTCAAAAATTTTTTGCCAAAACATTGAGAAGGTTTTCGATTTCTACACCATATAATAAATTAAAATTAAAAGCTTTTTCCATTTTATACTGAAGTTTAAAAACGTAAACATGTAATAAAATGTGAATTTGCGTACTTTTGCATTGATATTTACTTTATAAAGAGAGTGCTATATTTATTTTTAAATTCTTCATAGTACTTTTTAAAAGGATATCACAGAATGTGTGAATTAAGAGATGATTTTATATTGCTTGTGTTTCATTGAATATCTTCTTAAGAAATAACCGTCTACCAATTATCAATCAATAGCATAGTAATATAATATTTATGTAAATTTATAAAGTCGAAGTGAGTAATTATAAGAAAAAATATAATTAATCTATCTGTATTTTGAATAGTATTAAATTCCAATCGATGCGTATTCCAATTGATTTTTCTTCGCAAGTACCGTCTTAAAATACTACGGAAATCACTGTATACAGACTAATATTTTAATATTCTTAGTAAACCTCAAAGACAATTGGGCGCCTGGAAGCAATAGGCTCAGCCAGGAGCAGGCAACAGAGCGCAACGAAAGTGCAGGTTAGCTTCATGATGATGAACTAGAGCGTTGGAGGTGTCCGTTGCTTTTATATGCGGCGCGAGCAGTGTCCGTGAGTGCAATATCGCTACGCTTGCAGGCGCACGCGTGTGTACACGCCTGCTGCTCCCCCCCTCCCCGCGCGAAATTCGAATGCAGTGGAGCGCGCACTGCGTAATTGCATTCACACTCATCAACAAATAACAGCAGCGTCCTCCACGCGACATTTCTACAAAATCGTCACAGAGACGGGCTTTTAATTGCATTTTGTAATACTGAACAAACTGGAATAGTCCAGAATTGAAGTACAAGAGAAGTGAACTCACCGCCTAATTGCGATATGTAGTCCTGCGACAAAACCTCATGCCTAATACTTGTTTACTTGCAAAGATAATTATATTGTTATTAGTTTAGATTCATATTCACTGATGTTCTGCGAAAATGACATTAGAAGTCCTCAGGATTGACGATTTGTGATATCTTAGATTTTTAATAAGATTTTTTAAGTAAGATTTTTTATACGTATATGTGTTGAAGAATAAATTACAAGTAGGTTTTGCGTCACCCTCTTCCCAACTGTTTTCCATCGTCGCCTAAAAGACATTTTTTTTCTCATTCTCTCAATTATCCCTTAATAGTCTGAAAATTGGCAACATTGATCTCATTTTCACAGAAAATGTTGAGTTTTCGAGAAACTGCATAAGAAAGCAATTAAATTTCATGGTCTACAAATGAAATAATGTAAATGAGACTTGAGAACGTTCAAAAAATACTTGAGTAATTTTTGAAGAATTAGAAGAATACATCAAAATGGCATTTATCTCACGTTTTCAGTGCCTTTATCACTATCCATACAAAAAGTTTAAAGAAGAAGTTTCAAGCCGGTTTTCAGATAATCTTGTTTATCATATTGTCCATATTTCACTCAAAATTACACGAAAACTAAATTTTTTTTCAAAACAATGTCCGTGACTTAATTCACGAAATAAATATGGAGATCAAATTTCACTAGATAAAAAGTCTCCATCTGCAATAATGTGGTTTAATGAGGTCTAAACTTGCAATAATATAGTTCGATGTCTAAAAACTTTCAAACTTTAACAATTTTCGAAAATTCGAGGTTAACAGTTAAAAGCAGACACATACCATCTTAAAAAATGTATTGTACCCTATTCTTCGAGTCATACCAGGTCGCTTGGGAAATGCTGATAAAAAAACAATAAATAATTTATGCACTAGTGTTATTCACGGAGGAACTGACTGGCAGACGGATTTTTTAGAAAAAACACATTTTCGGTTTCAGGGACACCCAAAATATGTATTTTTGTTGAAGCCCCGAAATCGGTTTTTCCGTAGCATTACTATCACTACACTACGTATATTACTTCGTATATACGTACGAATACAGAGAAATATAAAAACAATAACTTTTAATAACATCGAAAGTACTCTGTCGTGGCTTTTACTTTTTATAAAACGTAAGCTGTCATCTCTTTTTAATAAAAAATACATTCATATAATCATATTCCAACAGCTGAAGAAAGTGAAAATAACAAACGCGTTGAAAGAAAGATGAGATTTTAATTATTTAATTCTGATCTAGTTTCAGCACCGAATGTCCGTCATTACTATGCCACCGTAAGTAAATTTTTAGACCAGTATTTGTTGATGGCTGCATTAAAGAAATTTGTATTATTCATAATCGAAGGTGGGAAATCTTAAAAAAAGAGAAAGCGCTATTAATATTGTATATTAATAAAATAATGATCATCGCCTCATCGAGCTCCATGGCTGAAGCTATGAAATCAGCATAGCCTTGACGCACGTGTGTGTTCTTAAGTAAACATCCAAAGTGGGATGGAAATTCCCGTCTGCTTGTTCATGCGTGCATACACAACTGAGCAAGCAGGCTGCCAGAAATCGTTCATTCAACTGGCAGTTTGGATGTGAAAGTTTCTTTTATAATACACTGCGTCTGAATATATCTGCACATATCTGCACACAACATCCGCTACCTCCTATTACTTCAAAAATGGAATATACATAAACAGCTGATGATAGCCTTATCAAAATTGGGTGGCGAGCAATGAGAATACAATTTTATTAACATTAACGATATACTTAACGTTCGCATCGTACGGTTCAGAATAAATATTGCAAATTGCTAGATCATGTAGGGTCCAAGATGATCACTTTTTGCTAATGAACATATGACGATAGATCTCTCAATAGAAAGTTCCTGAAGGGAATGTTCTGACAGCGCCCATGATTGGTAGGCAACTTATTCCCCACTAGTGTTTGGCTGAGGGGACAATCTGCCCATTAACAATGGTAATAATATGATTCTTTTTATTATTGAAGTTTAACTACAGAGATTGGAAGGGGTGGCCGTGCGGTTTGGAAAGGGTGTGGGAAGGGTGATGTACGTTCTCACGTAGTCATAACGAGTTCACCTTCGCGGGGCCCCGGAGCAGTCTTCACGTGGGAACCCTTACAAAACAATTCAGTAGTAGTAGTGTGAGTATTGTACGCCATTAAGAGTCTCCCGCATCTCTGTTTCCATTTAAGTATGTTACTGCACTCATCTGCAGTTTATCCTCTTCTAGCTATCGCCTTCTCCACTCCTTCCTTCCATGTACGTCTGGGTCTTCCTCGTCTTCTGTGTGATGTTGGTTTTCAATTCCAAAGGTTTAGAGGCCATCGTTCTTCACCCATTCTGTTTAAGTGACTTTTTGAGCCTTTTGAAGGCCACGTGACATTTGAGTCTTTTAATGTCAATGGTATCAATAATGTTGACACTCACTTCTGTTTATCTTCCAATTTCTTCGTGTCTTACTTTGTTCAACAATGTTAATTCACAGCATCTTCGCCAATAGTCTATGTCCAAAGCTGTAAGTTTAAACTCATTACTTTTCGATATTCCTCAAACTTTAGACCCATTTGAGGTAATACTCTCTACAACAATAGTCTATGTAATCTTCTTTTAACTTTCATCCTCAGAGTTTTATTCCGTATTAAGGGATGCAATTGCATATATATATATATATATAATATATATATATATTATATATATATATATATAATATAGTTACAGATTCTGCGCGTCTCTGAGCAGGTGGGATAATATGGAGAAGCGCCGGACCAGTCAAAATGTAATAGAATGTTCAAAAAGCTCTCATCCTGTAGATTAGGGTGTAAGAAAGGTTTCTTTCAGTAATTTGCTCACAAAAATGTACTTTTTAATGCACTAAAACATTTCATTTAGGAGTTATTTAACGATATAGAGTAAAAAAGTTTGCCGTATGTTGCGGGTTGCATTTGATATGACTATTTAGTTTTCTTCTTTGTTCTTTTTATTTGTGAATTTTTCCGATATTTTAATAGTTATTCTACTTGAGTTATAAATGATGTAACTAACACTATATATATACACGAATAGCAAGTTTTTATTGCCAAACAATTCACTCCATTACTCAAACTTGATTTTCGCCTACGGGTAGGAACAATTTAAATTTTACTTGTTACTCAGAAACTGATGTCAACAAATAATATATTTGAAAAGAAAATGGTTTGATGCTTCTTGATTAGACCAAAGTTTATATAGTGTTTAATTGTGGGACTGAATAATAAAGGCCTTAAGGCCACACAAAAGAATTACACTAGTATAAAACATTTTCTGTGTATACACAGTACGTAAAGTATCAAGTTAAAATATAAACTAATCTATTGAGAGACATAATTGGCCATCACATTAAATGAAAACAAAACTATCGGATATAGCAATCGTTTTATTACATTCCTTAGAAAAAAAAATTGGATTTTTTTAAAATATTAAAATAAATCCAATTAAGTAATGAAATTATTTCTTTTTGATGATACATGTGAATGTTTCAATTTTTGCATTGCGTAACACTAGTTCTTCCTCAATTATATGAATTAAAACATGTATTCATCTTCGAAATTCGCGTTAAGTATTTATTCTTTTGAGAGGTAGACACAGAACGAAATTACTTCAATGGGAAGAAGCAGCTAACTTTCGCTTAAAGTTTACACCATGAAAAACATTTGTATTAAATGCAATAATAGTAGCTCTTCCTGTGTCATTTGCCTTATGTACGTAATACGCTTCCCACCAAACAGCAGATTTGGTTTTCCTTGGCCGCTCAAATTGCTGACATGTTTTTACATTTGAACTAGTGGCGCCCAAACCTTGTCTTCCTTACTACAAAGATTACTCTGATACATCTTCATTTACAATTTAGTATAACATTTGAAAATTAGTACGCTTGTCTAGCTTATCGAATTTAGCTCTAAAATGTCGGGCAGTATTTCTAGGTCCTATGTTTATACTGTATTACATATTTCACTCGAGTTCAGATGAGATCAAATTAGTAAAAAAAAAAAAAACACTTCGCTTCAAGAAACAAGATGTTTTTTCTTCGTCATGGTACATATTACTTTCTGTATCGCCTGTTAATCACTGTTAATCACCTGTTAATCACTGACTTGACAAGAGAACTGATTATTTTAGAAATCTTTTCCAGTGCCATCTACATTCCAATTGTCGTTCAATATCCGGTAAATTTCTTTGTATTTTTTTGGGGGGAGGGGTCCGCTTTGTGAAATTCTTGGAGCTGCTTGTCTACTTTTGTCAATTGGATGTGACATGATTAAGTGCACAGTTTTCACAGATTGCTTCCACCAACCTTAAATTGGCTTTCTATTTGTTAAAGCCAATTTCATTCTGACGAAATCAATGTCCAAAGCATCAACAATCGCAACTCTGCTAATCGCTCTACCAACTTGATCGCGGCAGTCAAGTATGGGCACTGCCTGCACCCTGAGAGAAAAGTGAGTGACTGCGAATTTCTCAGTAAAGGACGATTGACCGATCAAATAGTCTCCAGTCTCAAATCTCGGCGATAAAGAGTCAATTTCGCATACTCAGGAAGGGAAATGAGTCGAGGAGGGAGAACTGCCATTGCAACGTAGAGTGCGCGTCTACGAAGGGATTCCCTATCTCCTAACTAGACAAGTAGTTAGTAAGAACATTAGCCCTTCCGAAAAGTTTGTTGAAATTAAACCGTGGAACCGCATGTCACCAGGCTTCGCACCAAGATAAAAAAGGACTTGCTGAAATAGTTACTGCTTACAAGTACTTTTTAGTCGCTTTTCCTTGAGCGTGTTCTCGTTGCAAGGGATTTTCGTGAACCGCAGTCTCGTGAACGTCAACGAAAGATAATATGCTGCATTTGACAGCTGTTTTCGCTTCTTTTCCCTACGTTTGTTTGTTTTTGGTCTTGGGTTTTTGCTTTGGTATTCTTTCGCGTTTTCGTGAAATTTGAGGAAGACCCCCCACGGGATATTTCTTAAATTTTGTGGGGCCCCCAACGGTATCTGCATGCATAACCCGGGCGTGAAGGCAAAGAGAAACAGTACAAAAATTGTTACTGCCGATGCTGCAGAATGGCATAGCCTTTCCCATATTATTTTCGTTACCTGTTTAGTTTTCTAAAAAAATGTATACATGACTTTTTTATATTTAATTCTTCGAACAAATTTTATTTAAAACAAAAATCTCGATCTTCAATATTGTACTTTCGCGATGTTCATTATTGGCAGTTTTCGAAAACATAGAGTTTGCCGAAAATGAGACCAGCACCGCTTTGATACCTTCTTTTGATTCGTAGGAGGAGAAAATTTAAATAAAGAATTTGGAATATTTTTTGAATAAAAACAATTGTTTTCATTTTTGTAAAAATTAACAGTATTTCACGCACAATTAAAAGAAAACTACTCATATTTTCCAGTAATTGAATATAACCTTATTTTAAAATCTGTATTTGAACAATACATTTCATTAAGGATCGAGGATATGGTTTACGGTTTCTATCTCTGTATTGGACTTCCTGCAGTATACATCCTCTCTGGACCTTCTTCTACTAAGAGTATTTTTATTGGCAGCGGTATTTGATCTCAACTGCAGTGCAGTGATTAAAAGACCAGGTTTCAGAAGATGACAATGTTTCAAAAACGCATTTCCAATCGAATCGTTTATATGCTCCCTAACCGCTCTCGCTCTGCAAATAGGATCTGCAGATTTTTTTAATCGTAACCCTAGGTTCAGCGCAACTCTAGGAACGTGTTGGGCGATCCGCAGACTTCCATCTCTTTTGGCCAGGTAGAATTATCCACCTGCAGTACTCATATGCAGATGTAGAAACTGTTTGACTGCCACTCTGATTTGACCGTTCGCTTCCATGAGCATCGACATAAATGGCATGGATAAAGCCAATTGATAAAGGTAATGTAGCGTCATGAAGGTATGAAATAATGCCGACTTCTGAGTGGGCTTCGAATGGGCCTTCTGAAGCTTCGACACTGCTTGCATCAAATTCGTTATGGATGCTTTAGATGGGAAGCCGTCCCAGATAGAATAGTTCACTCCCGGGTATGTTAGTGTATGATCATTACTTACCAGAGGTATTCTCTGACCCAACTTTTCCAGACAAGGGCCCTCAATGAACCAGGATAGTCCAAAGGTTGTAATTTGAAATGATTAACACTTCACGACAAACAATGTAATTCCGAGCGCCCAAGATATTCCACCACAATATCAACGAATTCTCGAGCTCCTGGGGCATATTTTGCTAACAGCACCAGATCGTCAGCAAATGCTGACATGGAGACACTCTTTTCCAATAGCGTATATGCTGACATGCGTTCCAATATCTCAAGCAGGCACTCCTTAATGAGATTAAAAAGGAGTGGGGACAAAGGATCCCCCTGTTTTACTCCTCTACGAATTGGCGCCTCAATTCCTTTCGAGGGGTGCTGAAAGACAATGAAAACATCGGCACAAGAGTCCATCATCAAATTGGTACAGGAGCCAGAAATCCCTTTTCAGGACAGGTCCACCTAATCGCCGCGTGAGGAACAGTGTAAACTACTTTGGATATACCTAGCACAGCACCTACACCACCCTCAGCCTTTTTCAAGTCACAGACTGCTTCATGAAGAATTTGAATATTCGCGTAACAGACAGATTCAGGGGTAAACCCTTTCTGGCGTAGATTGAACTACACTACGGATCGAATGCGTTTATCCATAACGCCCCAAAATATTCTGCACAGCATAGAATTAATTGTGATGGGACGATAGTTAGTGAGAACCGTATTATCCTTGCCCTCTGTCGGTATAAGGATAGTGCAATTAGCTTTCACCCAGAAGGCACAAAGCCACTGTATAAAATTAGGTGTACAATAGGGACGACATTTCAATTTTTGCTCCTGAGGATATATAACAAGACATAAGGAGACGAATGAGGAATAAAATTACTACATACAGGAATAAGATTTATCCACGTTTTCGTTACCACGGCCCGGCAATAAGTTTTTCTTTCGAAAACACGCCATTATCCCCGCGACATACAATACATTCTCTAAACTATTTAAATGTAGTTCAAAGGCACGATCTGAAAGGAAAAGGGACACTGGCTTTCAATCGGGAGCTTCATTACGACTTAAATTTCTGGAAGACTTCGATTGGATGACTCTGACCACTCTCCTGGCTCGTGAACTTCAAGGGACACTACATTTAAATTGAAATACATGCAGTATGTGAAAAAATAAAAAAATACTATTGTGTAATATTTAGAAAAGCAAATAAACACATCAAAAGTCTTGTTATTCATTTCATTGATCACTATCCGAAGAAAAAGTATAATTAGAATCTTTGGAGCAGGTTTTTGCAAAATCCTGTTTTTAATATTGCCCATATTTCACCCAAATATGGGCGAAAACTACTAATACTTTCAAAACAATGCCATTAATAGACTAAAATTAAAGAACTAATTGAGGAGAACAAATTTCATTAGAAGAAAAGATCGCCACCTCCAACATTTTAGTGTTAAAAACAACGAAATAATCAAAATTTCCAATTTTTGATTCTTCAGAGTAATAGTTAAAATAGGATGCCGTCTTTATAAGTATATTTCAATCTATTCTCACGACAAATTTAAAGAAATAAATTGGTGCCATTTTTAAGAAAAGTTTTCAAATGTTCCAGGGGGTGCGTGAAAAGTACTCAAAAAAATTTAAAGAATGTTTTTCAAAGCTGCAGGGCTTCGAGTCGCGCTACACTGACGGGGGAATATTCATTTTGAATTGAAGCAGCAAAAATTTAATAGAATGTCCAATACCTCTTCCAGGAGATTACGGTGTAAATAACGTTTCTTTGATGCCTATGGCCTCAAAATTTTAGTTTTTAAGTTCCCATAACACTTTGTTTAAGAGTTATTTAACGAAATATCTTACTGAGTGCTGCGGGTTGCATTTGGCATGCATATTTGGAGGTGTTTTTTTAAAGAAACCCATTATATTTTTTAAGCCAAAGTGCAAATCGTCGTGTCGCCGTGATATTTTCTTTCTTTATAGAACTCTTTTAGAAAAACTGGCTGCGTGTGAGATCCACAAAAAGTATATATACTACTCAAATAATATAGGAGACGATAATGTGTCTCTTGGTTATTTTCAAACCCACACAAAAGTTAACTAGGCGGATATCTAGCAAGAGTTCTCTTCAAGGGTTTTCTTTATAAGAAGAACCAGTAAACAAAATCGCGTTGATTACTGTAATAGATGATAATTTCGTGTAATGGAAAGTGAATAGGAAACACTTATTCTAAGTTTTCTATATCCAGAAGCGGTGCAAATGTGCCAACCCCCACCTTAAATTCCCTCGAGTTTTGAGACCAATAGCAATTTCTGATCATCTGTCATATTGAATGTTTCTTCGTTTCTAATTCTATCACCAAAACCTTCCAGTGATTCCTTTATGATAAATCGTGGGAGGAGTCACATTTTCAAGAAAGCAATATTGATTTTGACGTTCGTTTATCTTACTAAAACAGGGCTTTGCAAACTGCAAATGCAAAAATGTTCACTCAGAGTTTGCTTTATTAATAATAAATCTATTGTTACAGATATAGCACAATAATATTAGACAAATTAAAAAGTATAACACAATGCATTAATAATCAAAAACATTAAATCAAGACACATTTTCGGAGTTCACTCTCAACTGATTGCTTCCAATTTTCAGGGTGTTCAACACCGAACAAATATGATCCTTGTTGACCTGATGTGTGTTCTGACCATGACTTTCATCATAGTGCAGAATTGCCGAGCCTGTAGCGCCATGCCATGTTATAGAGGAGGGTTTTATTCCGTTGGATGCAAGAAGATCCTTTAGTTCCCGTACCCTCGTTGTCTTGGGTATATTAGTAATCCGTAAAGATAACTGATATGATATAGATTTCAGGCTGCATAGTTCTCCATTTCTAAAAGAAAAAAATTGTACGAAAGGATACAATAGCCACTTTAAACACTGCTTAAAAATAAGTCATATATATGATCAAACTAGTTGATCCGTTTAAAATGAAATACGGTTACAAAATTTAAGCAAATTCCAAACATTATCGATTTTGATTTCTTGCTTTTATCTTTCATAAATCCATATATTTAAGTAATTTTTATAACAATAAACATTCTGAAATACAAATGACTGAATTATTTTAATAACACTTCACCCTTCTGTGGTTACAATATTGTCTGAGACTACAAATGTAATATTATTTTAAGAAATACGCGCCTTTGCCTGCAAGGACAATAAACACATTCCTATTGCAAGAAGAAAGTTTAAAATACATTAAATTATTCCACAAACATATCCAGCGGAGCTACAACAGCATATACATTCTAGCATTACGTGCAACTTTTGCAATTTTCATTTTTTCAAATTTGAAAATTTAGAAAGTTCAGCAAAAATTAAGGCTTTCACCTTTTTTATAAGCATACTTCGCACTAGCCCAAAAAATTAAAACATTTGAAGCCTTTTTGAGAAAATCCTGTTTTAAAATTTCTTTTATTAGTCACAAAATTACGCGAACATTGTTCATACATTTAAAACATTGTGCATGATCTTATTTACAGATCTATCTTCTAGAACAGATTTCAATGAGAAAGATGTAGGAAAATGCCACAAAAAAATCCAACATTTGTAATTTTCGAAAATTCAGCGAGTTCAAAGAAAATTAGACCTGTGTCATTTTTATACGTGGAATTTGCTAAAATATGTAAAGAAAACTTTGGAATAATTTTGAGAAAATTGTGAAAGTGTCCTAAGCTTCATGTAAATTATCCCCCAAAATCAAAATATCGTTTTCAAATTCATGTGACCACGACATCAGCCAGATAAATCATAGATTAAACATTTTGGCAAAAATACCGCCGACATTTTAGCCGCTAACGTTGTTCATGGACGGACAGATAGATGTTTAGCATAAACCAAGTTTTCGGCATCAAAGCATGGACTACACAAGTAAGAGGCAGATACTTTCTACACATAGGAACAATAATTATTCCCATTCTCGGTATCAGGGGCTCGCAAAATACGTTTTTTCTGTTGAAACATTGTCGGGTTTTGCTGCAGCATTACATTTCTTTTCCTATAATACATATATAGTAGGAGAGAAAGTCAAGATTAACATTAAGTCATAACTTACGAAATATGCTTCTTTCTTAGAATTTGCAAAATTGGCATGTCCGCCACTTGCTTTGGTGTAAGTAGGCTCCATATAACTCCATGGGGTCGTGGTAAATTATTTGTTCTGGCCGTCGTGTGTATTACCCGAGTAGGTGTCACTATTATATCAACCAAAGTGTCGTGTTCTTTGAATAAGTTCTGGGGCAGATCCTCAAACACCTGCAAAAACATTTCAGTCAAACCTTAACACAAAAACCAAAGGATACAGATTCATTTTAACCAATAAACTGGTAATTATTGGGATGGTTAATACACTCACTGCAGGGTGAGGAATCTACATTGCACAAACAGAAATTATTTCGGTAAAGGGGCGGAATTTCTGTTCGGGGATCTCCAAACACCAGCCCAAAAATTTGTTTATGAAAAATAACTTTACTTTAGAAAAGGATTTTTTTCTTGCAATGCCGTACGCGTAGATATTATAGAAATACTCCCTTGGAATGTGATGCAAACAATGTTAATATTTTAAAGCTGGGTATTTTTTCAATGCCCTTCTCTAAACAATGCAGTGACTCATTAACAGAAGCAAGGGCCAGATCAATGTTTTCGAGAGCCTTAAGCATGACCACACTATATGGCTCCCTAATATAAGTAGTATTGAAATATCGAACATACGTAAGGGTCTTCCATAAATTACGTAACACAAATTGGGAGTATTTTGAATACACCCTCTCCCCCCTGTAACGCACCCATAACGTGCGCTTGAAATAACGTGCGCCCATAACGTGCGCCCCCTAAATAATTACTTAACGTCTGCGTCAGCATTCCCCTTTTTAAATGCAAAAAGTGAAACTAAACTACAGCATTAGCACAATTAAAAATTTTATTCATTTCATTTGTGTTGTGTGTTAAGATGTATGATAATTAAAGTCGGAATCGACTGTTAATGTTGACTGCACCTAACAAGAAGAATGAGGAAAAGTTTAGAGTGAAGGAAGGACGCGCGGGTAAGAACATTTCTGACCACAAGCCGTGCACACACCGCCGTTGTGGATGGTCCATGGAGCCAATGTAATTGTATTCTTGAAAATACTACAGATCACTTTTGAATATTTTCTTCGAAATTTCACAGATTCAATAAAAAAATTGTTGACCAAATATTTTCATTAATTGTAACTTCTAATAACTTTATATTATTTATATTTTAAAACAAATTATATTTAGATAATATTTTAATGTTTTAGTATAGGTACTAAAAAAGGAACAATTTCAAAAATGTTATAAAAATGTAAAAAAATTAATGTTACGTAACACTAATCGATTACCCCTTGCCCCTATGTAACGCCGCCTCAAACACCCTTCCCCTCTTTAGCGTTATTTATGGACGACTCCGTAGATAATCAAAATTAATGTTAAAATAAAACTATAGCTCTTTCAGTTTTACGCCATTGGTGCTACAACTATACAGACAGTCTTCTTACTAGAACAGAGTTACGTAATACTCCAATAAATATATAGTATTAGCGAATATAGTCTACCGGGCGACCTGCGCAGCCTTGTTGCTCTGTAGGGCTAATGATTTATATCAACAGAAATAGTGTTAACCTCTGTATCTGTACAGTTCGATAGTTCACATTAGTTCGCCGTCATGCCTTGCAGTTCGCATTCATCCCCGAATTGAGTTGTGATGCGTAATAATCTTTATCTGCTCTGAGTTTTTCTTTTGCCACTAAACATACACGAAGTCATATTCTAGTGTTACCTCTGTAAGCAGGCCTTTCACGCCACGAAGCCTACTCAACTTTTCTTTATTAACACTTCTGTAGTTCTTGTACAAATCTTACACGAAACGGAAGGGCATTAGGTCTTGTTCTCTTTCGCGTCTAGTCCGTCTCGTGAACGCGTTATTCGCGATCGTTTCGATTGGTTTATTTTCGATGGATCTTCAACTCAATAAATGTATTAACATCCGAGCTCTTCTACGATGTTGAGGTCCTCTTAACATTCACTCCACGAACTAAGTGTTTGACCTCACGCGCTCCCACTGCGTACGCGTTAGCACTCGGAGACATAGCACTCCCACACCCCTGCACAGCCACCCGTCTACTTTACTCTGCACAGCTTAAGGAGGGAGCAGATACGGCTGCAGTGCGCGCAGGTACGTGATGAATCTTGTTCCTCCTCAACAGGATTCGCATCCAAATCGCTAAATGTATATCAGGAATATTTCGTAACAATAAAGAAACTAATGAATGGAGAGGAGAAAATAATTATTGGAAAAACAAGATTTATCGGCAAAGGATGAAGGAACATGGAAGTAAAAAAAAAATCAGAAAGCACATAACCGATTGCAATTATTCCAACATATCTTAATTTCACTCTTACCTGACAATCATGAACTGTAGTAATAACTGGAGTTGATTCATTTATCGCACCCATTTCCATCAAAATAGCATATTCCAAGTCTGCAAAACCTTCTCCTTTTCCTATTCTAAAACCTAAACAATCACACAGGATGGAAAATCTCAATAAAATATAATATACATGTACTCACGAATATTCTTTTTGCGTAATTTTATATATTATGCCAATACATTCAATCACTGTAAAACTTACTTTTTTTCATAGTGTGAAATTGATCTTTAACGTTACTTCAAAGCTTTTGAATTTTAAATATAATTAAAGTGCTTCTAATTCAATTGGAGTGCGCTTTTTAGGGTTCTTGATAAATAGTGGCTGACGGAAAGGTGCTACTAACCACGTAGACAATTATAATAGTTATAGAGCGCTAGTTGGGTGCAGTATCTTGAATATTGAATGTCATTAAAACGATAATATATACTCCTAACATATTATAAAATATTTTTCACTATCGGGGGATTGCGTAACGGTGCAACCTAAGCAAGAGCCGCCAATGCAATTGTGTGCATTCAACTCAAACGTAGAACTCGGTTATCATCCGGTGGCAAGCAGCTAAAGTATTGCACATTACTGCACTCTTACATATGTGATGTAATGCCAGGCGAAAAATGTACACAAAAGTAATTATTTTGTAATTTTATTAAGGTTTACGGTTGTAAATCATTTTTTAAAAGAAAATTACGACAAAACTTTCATCGATTTTGGTTCTGTAAATACCTACATTAAGAGATTATCGCACCGTAACTCAACGCACTTGTCTCTTTATATATTAGTGTAAATTTAGATTTATTTAGTCCAAAAAATCAGTAAAAACTGTATGTGGTGTGTGGAGGAGAAATCGTATTGTAGATATTCCCATTTTTATTTAGGCCGTTTATTAAAATTTCTCAAGAGTGGTTTCTGTAGTTGTAGGTTGTTAATGGGGTTGGGGAGCCAAAATACAAACAACAAAATACAAAATTGACAGAGCATGCAGCCTCTGAAATGAAACTTATAATTTAATAATAACTAATAACTTAATAAACTAAACAATAGCCTTCTACAGAAATTAGTTCCAAAGTTATGTTCGTTTAAGGCTTTACAAGTGAAAATTGACAGCCATTTGGCAAGTGCACATAAATAATTCCATTTAAAAATAAGTTATGTTACAAGTTACACCATAAAGAATATATCACATTTGTCAGATATATAAACATGAATATGACAAAATATGACAATTTGTTTGGATCAACTTGACACCGTTTTAAAAAAACTCGGTATCTTCGCTTCGCAAACTATAACCCCACGGTCATACGCTTACAGATGCCAGACAATTAAACGACTGCTTTGGATAGATTGATCGCAACTCGCACAAGAAAACGAAGTAATGAAGAAACGACGGCAGATATGCGTTCATTCTATAATTTCAAGATATTTTTATTATTATTTATACAAATATAAAACTGGTTAACAACAGTAATCGATAATACAGCCAGGGCCCACTATCTTTCCTGTAAAGAAAATGTCACTTTAATTTGTTAATTTATTTTGTTAATTTATGTTAATTTAATTTGTAGAGTTGAAAGCAAAAATTACATTCTTAACACAAATGCTTACTGTTCTACATACATGACGGGTTGAGGCAGTAACAAGATATGCCACACTAGCCACAAGCCTCCCCGCTATTCGACTTTTTGGCGAAGTGAAATTTATTTTCTTTCTGCCCCAACCCCTTCATATACAATTCAATTCCTGTAAATATCAATATGACAAGAGCAGCCACGCTTCCACCAAAATTATTAACATTCACGAGAATAGGGAGGTCTGTTGTGGCAGATGTGGCTTATCAAATTAGTGCTACAAGTCTTTCGTGTAGTTTATCCTCATGCAAGGGTTTAGTGCTATACAAGCATGTTACATAATTATTTACGAACCTTGAGAAGACACGGCGACTGAACCCAATATGAGGATATCTATTGTCAAAACGGCATCTAATCCAACTGGTCGACCGAGCTCCTTCGCTCCGTTTATGGTGGAAGCGTATTTGATGTCGTCATTACTAAAACTGTGAGGTGTAAGCCTGACAAAAAGTCCACTCCGCAAACGAGGAATAGGCATTAACACTTCCTTCCGTAGCTGTGAAAAATTATTGTCAAATTAAATTTAAAAACAAAAATGCGCACGTCACATAAGACTCGAATTCTTAGATGTTAACCTATTTTATTTCTCACTTTTAATGTCATTATTTTAATACACTTACAATTTTTAATCATTTCTGAACCAAATACTTGTATCCTATAGACCATGAGTTACCAATGGGGTCGGTATCGATCAATGGGGTCGATGAAATTTTAAAGGAGATCTGAAATTTTAAAGGAGATCAATGAAGAAAACACGTTGGCGGAGGGGGGGGGGAGTATATTCCCAAAAATGAATTGGCGACTGATCGGTGCGGACACAAACAAATATTAACGAAGTTAGTATTGTGTTCTGATGTAAATCCAGAAAAAACACCTAATAATATATTACAAATATTCTCCTTTTCGCATTCATTATTGTTTCATTAGGATGTTTGGAATTATATTTACAATATTGTTCGAGCACGTAAGAAAAAATCGGCAATAACCACAGCAGAAATGTACAGCCAATTAAAAAAATGCACAATATATACTGCATTTTGTACCCACTGCATAAACATGAAGAAAAGAAACTAAGCTACCCATAGGTCTATGCATTTATTGACATTATTTCCAGTGACAATAAAGAAAAAATACACTGTTTGTAGGAAAACATCGTATTTCAAATAAACAAACTTCTTCTGTCAATAGAAACCCCCACCCTGTTTTTAGTTCTATCCGTACGAACAAATTAGAGAAAACATTTGGAACAGTTTTTGAGAAAATGGCGTTTGAACAATTCTGAAAATGGGGAATTTTGAGCTCATTTCCATAGAAAATTTTTGAGTTTTTAGAAAATGTATGACATCATTTTAAGCACATGTACTCGTAAATGAAATAATATAAAGTAATCACCGACAATATAAATATTAACGATCTCCGGCGCAGAACATTTGAATTGTTTGTTTTCTGCTGTTAATTAACGCAAAAGAAGTGTTATAAATGATTGATTTCCCAGTATGGCGTCAAATTTGAATTGGCAATCTATGTGCCAACATAAATCCCGCCGCCAAAAGAATCGAACAATTACATAACGTTCTGTAGATAATAGTACTTAGAATTTCAGTAATCTCAGCCAATATGTCCACCAATAAATCTTACCTGCCAATCTATTATGACTTATACAAAATAAATATACTCAGAACTGTCTTCTACTTTCTTATGACATGCACAGAAATTGAGAAATGGCTTCATCACGCGATGAAGGAGCGAGCTATGGCAAAAGTCTGACACTGCCCAGAAAAGAAATCCAAAACTTCGATAGCAAAAATCAAAAACACAGAGACACACACGTATCAAATTCAACAAAAAATCAATTTATAGTTGGATAAAAATAGATTCAAAAATGAATTTAAAGCGAGATGCAAAAAAACCCGGCGGATAATTTAGGTTTGAAAGGTTTCAAATATTTATTTGTTAGCTGAAATTTGAATATACTTGATTAACTTATTGCAGAGCGAAAATTAGAATCAAGTAATGTTTTTTCGAATGATATTTTTATTTAGACGAAGGTCTAGACTGTCACGACGCTACGCAAGTGCAAGTCCCTCCTAATTGTCACCCAAAACTAGTGGTGCTACATCACATACTTTCTCGCAATACTGCAATGTTATCATTATGTACGGCGGGATGCCGTTGTGTGCTTCGTTAATTTCAAACAGAAATTACGCGAAGACTACTAACACACAAAAATGTAATTATTCTTTTTTTAAAGAGATTGTTTTGTACAAAAGACTGTCTGAGACAAAAATCTTTATCTTCAATTTAGTAGTTTTGAAACGTTTTTTGCAATTTTCGTACAAAAAAACGAACAATATCAGAAAATGAGACTAGCGCCATATTTGTTACAGTTCCTTATTACATATGTGGAGAAAATTTAAAGAAAAACTTGGAGTGGCTTTGACAAAATATATTTGTAAATTTCACTCACTGAACACGCAAAAATTACTCTTTTTTTAAAAAATTGTACATGACCTTTTTCAAAGAGCTAATTTTGTACAACAGAATTTGTCTGAGGCACTAATCTCTATTTTTATTTTATAGTTTTAATTTTTTTTAACTTTCAAAAACCGAATAATACCTGAAAATATGACTAGCCTCATAATTGTTATCGATTTTTTTTTTGTAAATTTCAATGAGAAAATGAGCAAAAACTATTTGCTTTTTCAAAATCTTGTCGTGACATTTTGAAGAGCTGATTTTGTACCATAGTCACTGCCTGAGACAAAAATCTGTATCTTCAATTTAGATTTTTTTTCAATTTTCGAAAAATTGGGAACGACAACGAAAATGAGAACTAAACGACAATTAAAATTTTTAGTTTCAAATTCCACGGTCCGCGAAATCACTAAAACGATTGGGGAAAAAATAATTTTGGAGAAAATAGGCTGAACGGTTTATACGCTAGTGTTGTGCACAGGCGGACGGACAGTCACGTTTTGCAGTCAATCGATTATTCGGTAACAAGGACCCACAAAATAAGGATTCTCGCTACATCCCGAGTTAGAGGATTTTCCTTTCTATATTTCACAACTAGATTTATCTAATTTTTCCTTACAAGGACCCGGCAATAAAGAGTTTGTGTGTCTAAAATTCGCCGCATTCCGGTACACGATTACAATACTTTTCTTATGTTCGTAAGTGCGAGAGAGTAACTAGTGCTACAGAATAGCACAGACTTTCCCGTATTAGTATTCTATTTCCTTTGGTCTCGGCTGGCTATAGTAACTTGCCACATATGCTATCCAGCAGCCACAGCAGCCAAAAATACATTTTTTTCAATTCTTCGGCTTCCTAATTGTAGAACGGAAATATTATTTTAAGAATATTAAAGAACACTAAAATCTCGTCCTAAATGGCAATTTCCTTAGAAAAATTTGGAGCCGTTTTAAGAAAAGGGCATTTAAGCGCTACTGTAAATTCGAAATTTGAACCTCTTTTCACAGAAAAGTATTGAGTTTTCGAAAAACTTCATATTCATTTTAAGCACTTCCAGTCACAAATGCAATAGTGTTTACTACTGGAAATGTGCAAATTAAACGCGTGAAAGCTTTCAAAAAAATTACATTTGTGTAATTTTTGAAAAAAAATGAATACAGCTAAATTAATTTTATGTTTATAAACAGTTCAAATAGCACTATCTATTGAAATGTTTGAAGAAAAATTTGGAGCCGTTTTAGAGAAAAGGTGGTTTGAGCGTTTCTGAAAATGCGAAATTTTTATCTAATTTTCACGGAAAACTGTTTAGTGTTTTCGGGAAACTTTATTTAACATTATTTAAAGCACATGTACTCATAAATCCATTAATGTTATTAAAGTGCCGCTAATGCAAATATTAACGACGTGAGAGACCATTCAAAAAATTACATTTTTGAAAACACAAAAAGATAGAGCAATATGGTGTTCATGTCATCTTATAGAGAGAATTTAGTACTATCCCTACCAAACGTTTGAAGAAAAAAATGGCGCCGTTTTTTAGGAATCCTTGTTTTAATATCTTTTTTAAATTGGTCATATTGCTCGCAATATTGCGCGAAAACCATTTTTTATAAAAATGTACATGACCTTACTATGGAGAACAAATTTTATTTTAGAGAAAAATCTCTAGCTTCATTTTTTTAGTTGTAAGAAGACGCTCGTAAAATTTGACATTTTCGAAAATTCAGAGTTGAATCAGAAAATTAGACATATGCCACCTTTATAAGTATCTTTTAGTTTATAGTACAATTTATTCTATTCTTGCAAGAATTTTAAAGAAAAAATTATGAGTTGTTTTTTGGGAAAATTTTGATAATGTAAGGAGGACTTCCTATAAATCCTCCTTAAATTATCCTAATTCCTTATCCCCAAATTTTAAAGACTTTTTTGCAAAATCTCAAAGATTCGACTCGAGCCAGATCCGCACAAACTTCTGGGGGTTTGGAAAAAATCTTACGCATGTTTTGGCGCTAGTAGTATTCACAGATACCAGACGGACGGACGTTTTGAAAAAAAAAAAACACTTTTTATGAGAGAACCCCAAAATGTGTATTTCCGTTGAAATCTCGAAATCGATTTTCCGCAGTATTACATAACTTTCCCTACACTATGGATATTACTCCGTATATACGTACTACGTATACGGGAAAGTAAAAAGAAAATCTTAAAAGATAATAATTTTCATACATTGTAAATAGTGGTGCGACAGAACGGCACAGACTTTCTCGTATTCGTTTTCTATTTCCTGGGCTAGCTATTCTGACTTGCCAAAATACTCTTGCCAGCTGCCATGTATCGCCGCTCACAGTACATTTTTTGATTTTTTCTTAATTTTTCGGTTTCCTAATGGAAGAACGGATACATTATTTTTAAAATATTAAAGAATAGTAACACCTCGTCCTCAAAGGCAGTTTTATTTGGAAAATGTGGAGCCGTTTTCATGAAAATGTTTAAACGCTACTGTAAATTCGAAATTTGTAGCTCTTTTTCGCAGACATTTTTTGAATTTTCGAAAAACATTATTAGAAGTCATTTAACCCACATTAACTCTCGACGACAGCGAGCAGGATTCAGTGCGGAGAAGTTGTGAGCAAAATAAAGGTTAAACCGTTCTCGGTAGTGAAAACAGCGATAACGTTTGATGTACGGGATGGTTCTGAGATATTCGTCGATGACGACAAGGTAGATGAAATTCCTACGGGCAACGGTAAACGAGGCTTTAGCTCAAATTTTACTAGTAAATGAGATACAAAACGAAAAGAGTGACACACGCGCAATAGGAAATTTTAGATTCGGTCGTGCAGGACTTGTTAAATCAAGGCATCATTTCGCATAGTAATAGCCCTTGGTGTGCAAATATAATACTAGTTAAGAAAAGCTCGTCGGGAGGCGAAACTAAGTACAGACCACGTATAGATTTTAGAACCCATAATAATGTTATGACAAAAGGAGTATTTCCTCTCCCAAACCCATATGAAGTCT